AAAGTCACATGTATAATATGTTATAAACATTGAGTCCTGTTTCAAAGTAAAATCTAAATTTTGTTAAAAGAAAGACAATATACTTATTTTGAGAAACATCTTTCTGTAATGGGCTTTCAGTGAAAATAAAATTATATATACATGTATATAATTCTTTTAAAGTTACCCTGTGTAAAGAGTTATCATATTGTCAATATTTTTTAATTTGCTGCTAAAAATCCATAAAGATAATTGTTATTTTCTCAAATTTCAATAATCCAATGCCTATTACTAATGTTAAGATAGTGCTACCATAGGCGGATCCAGGGGCCCTAAGGGCCCGCCCCCTCCTTTCATGTGAAACATTTGGTTGATTACATATGGAATTACTAAAGCATGAATGTAGCGGGCCATCTCTTAAGGCAGTTTGTGGGACCCCTTATATTAAAATTGTCTAGATGGTATATTTTCCCCCGCTGCTCGTTGTTAGACCCGCACCCAGACGCTGACAGATTTTCCGCGGGTCCTCGAAGGGAAACGGAACTTTTTGGAAAATCTCGAAAATTCCTCCCCTGCCAGAATGGCAAACAAGGAATGTGTCGGATGGATAGCAGGGACCATCGGGTCGACGGCCGACCGTACCCGACCTTGCTGGTTATGCCCTTTGTTTGCTAATTCTTTTGACCTATTGAAATTTCTGTCTTTGTCCAATTCAAATTGTCTGCCTTCATCCCAGCCTACCCCTATTGTAGGACCTTTTTGAAATTGTCTATTTTTTCAACTTCACCTCAAAAATGATCTTCATGTAGATACTCATCATCCAATAATACAATATTATTCAAAACGTATAGCTATACATACTTTGCCATTTCAACATTGAGTTTAAGAATGAATAAGAAAAATAAACAGCTCATAATATAGGTATTTTTTCCTTTATAGAAAGAAAGGTTAGATGGTCAATTATCATTTATTTAGAGGATCAACGTCTGACTCTTTTTGTTCTATTTTTTATTGTGTTGAATTGTATCAAATTATTACCTTTAATTAAACTTTGGTCAGTAGACTAGCGCAGGACCTACAACGTGCCTATTAAATTTATTGATTTTGTTCTCTTCTGAAATATGCATGAGATATTTGACACTGGACATAAAGCAAACCACAACTAATCGATCATTTCTTTTTTTACAAAATATTACACCCCCCCCCCCCCCCCCCCCCCCCAGCCCCCCGATTTAAAGAAACATATTTTCTCATGTTTACCCTGTAGATCAAACAAGTTAGCCTCTTGTTTTGTATTAAATCTAGTTTTTCAAAAAATATTCTTTTCGTTTTGTTTCGTTTTGTTTCGTTTCGTTTCTTTCCGTAACAGGTACCCACTTTTTAGTCCATTCCGTTATATTTTAATAAAAAATCTAAAAATTCAAACTGTTAAAAAGCGAAATGATCAAAACTGCACGTTATGTTTAGTATTTTTAAAGTCTGATTAAATATCTAAACTATTAAATTTTAAAACGAATTTTAATTTTTTGGTGAAATTTTCAAAATTTCAAAAATTTAGAATGTTTATATTTTAAAACTTTGACCAAAAATCCAAAAAACTAAAATTTCAAAACTTTTTAGAATTTTGAATTGTATTAAGTGTTACACGGACCGCAGGTGGGATCATCGTACCATAGATATAAAAGCCATGGCTATTATATATATGATCGTACATATTTTTGTTAAACTATATACCCCAAGAATGATTGTGGTCTAGTTTTGTTTAAGTTGACATCTGTTGTGTTCGCTCATTTAACGCTACACTAACGGAGCGGAGATTTTAGATGGAATGGCGGACCAGTTTAACATGATAAAGCTTGGTTTCAATTGGCAATGCCAAAGAGAAGATTTTTGTAAAATTAAAGGACGACGACGGATGATGAGGAAAGCTCACATAGCCCAAACAAGTGCGCTCCAATAAGGAGTCCATTACAATTTCAGTTTGATGACTTGTTAACTCAAATGTTTTGCGGTTTGGGGATCATGCATATTTATTGATAACTTTTTCTTTTTATTTAATAAAGATTTCAAGATAAAATCCAAACGGCACAAATTGGTAGAAACAGTCATATAACGGCAATAACTAAATAGTCTTATAACGGCAATACTCCAAGGTTAAAGCCCCAAAACCGATCATGAGACATCGTCATTTAAGGACAATAATTCCTAGAAGTCGACTGACGATTTCGGTCATTGACTTATTTGTAGGGTTTTGTCTTTCTGATAATTTTTTATGCTGAAATAGTTTTCTATGTATTATAGTTTCCAAGATAACCAATTCAAAACAAATAGAATATATTCTGATCGGAGCCAAAACCAAAAACATATGCTGACATCTCTTTTATTTTTAACCACAGAGGCCACACGGATTTCCGGATATGATTTAACAAGGATCTTACTATACAAATCCTTGGTTTGATAGAAATTATGTAACATTGAAGATGACCGATTGTAGGGTGACATCGGGTTGTTTCAATTCAATTAATCTATTATAAAGTTGCTATTGTTGTGTTTAAAGTTGGATTTTTGTTTCTTAAGGCAAATATTTTGATTTTCGGCAATCGATCGCCGGGGAATAAACATAATCACTGTGCTTAAACGGCTGTGGGTAACTTAAGTTACCCACAGCCCAAGATGGCGGGCTCTAAACTCGTTGATATATGATTGATACAAAATCTTCTTTTTGCGACGTTTTTCATGCACTATGTAAATATTTATAAGATTCTTGAATAAAGAAACACTTAGCATTACCATAAATTTGTCAATTTTAAGTTCATTTTAGCGCAAGGCCAACTTTAAAAAATGCATAAGATGTCCGTAACTTTATGGTCAAAACTAATCAGACTGTCCGTAACTTTATTTTCGAATGTGGGTAACTTTTGTTTTCAAAATTGTAAGATTGATAATTTCAACAATTAAAGGACAAGAAACACTATCAAATCCCGTATTTATTACCTAGTTTTATACTATTACGATATGCGTCAAAATAACCAAGAGAAAAGAGAACATAGCTGTAAAAAATCAGACCCGAGATTTACGGATTTACCGTTGTTTTTTTTTCAATTTATTCCCGATTTTCGGATAATATGTTGATAGATAAATCCAGTAAACTTGGTAAGCAGCATCCAAAGTATACTTTGCAGAGTGTTTACATAAAACAGGATCTGATGGTACAGCGAAATTTATCTTACATTCTTTTGGCTTTATAGATTGTTCACTGTTGAGTCCTTGGCCCTTTAGCCGCGGGCAAAATTGATACCTTTTCCTTTAATAATTTCCGAATTGTTAGCCAAAAAAGTATGGTCACCACTATACCTAGTGTTATGAAAAAAAAAATGCCAACATCTTAGAGTAAATGGAAGGCTATATTGTTGAACATGTGTCCGTTTATAACAGCAATTAAGGTAGATTTAAAATCTTCTAAACGTTTCATTGACCTCAGGGATTCAATAACACTTGGTATCAAAGCGTAAATATATTCTTCAGGGGTCTGGACATCTCCGTCTATGTATTTCCGCTCAGGATTGACATCTGAACTTGTTCTCTTAAAGATGATTTTCGTTTGTTTACTTTTAATGTCTGTTTTTAAGCCTCGAGTAATTTGATCTGAAATTTGTGATATCTGCAGTGGGAAGTGGTGAGATTTATAAGCTGCATGTCCTGATTTTTCGTCCCAAAATTGTTTCCTTATGCTAAATTTCGAAGTTCCACTGTGTTGGCTGATTGAGTTATGAACATGGTACCTATGTCACTATATAAACTAACACATGTAATTTTAAAAAAAGATTCGAGTTTATTAGCTGGGTACAATACCAGAAAACATGGTATTCACAAAAGAATTATATCAAACTAGAAATCTACTTTCTTTCTGATTATATATTTGATGCAATTTCTATAACATGTTTAATTATCAAATCCATCCACGAATATCGATTCTTTGAAAGTTACAGCTGGGACTATTATACTATAATATATTATGTTCAAGGTTACGGACATTATGTTAAAGTTACGGACATTATGTTAAAGTTACGGACATCCCTATTGGTATATTGAAAAAAGTTACGGACAAGTTGTTTTCAAGTTACGGACATCCTAAGTGTTTTCGAAAATCGTAATGTGATCGTTTATTTTGCAGTATTTTATCACCTTTTATGTTTAGGGGTTTCCCTAAAAGATTGATACAACTTTTTAATTACTAAACATTTGTGTTGTTTCATTGTATTGCCGGTTATTATATAGGATAGAAGTTTCTTACCGAAGCCAGGCGGCTCCATCTTGGGCTGTGGGTAACTTGGCTTAAGTTACCCACAGCCGTTTAAGCACAGTGATAATAAAATTTTGCTGACTTTAGTGACCAGATAGTTAAGCAGTTAATGTTGAACCTGAGAACAGTATATCTAATACATATGTTCCTGGTTAAACAAGTAAAATAGACCCAACTTGCATTTTTTTTTATTGTATACAGATTTTATTTTTTCATCCTGGTACCGTATAATGAGTTTATTTTCTATTCGGAAAACTCAAGTTACATTGAGAATATTTCTATCTGAGTCTTCTATAACACAGTAGTCTCAGTTTGTATGTATGGGAGATCAATTAACAGGTCAATAACTAGCTCCTGTGTCCACTATGAAAAAATCTAAAACTTCTATAAGTATCAAGTCCCTTCATGTGGTTGTCACTAATCCCCAATAATTTACGTACTTCATTGTACATGAAAACGTTTGGGTATTAAGCATATTGTTATGAAGTTTTCTCCCTTGTGCAATGAGGAAAACGGATAATTCGACAATCAATGTTGTTATTAGCGACGAAGAAAGTAGTTCATAAATTGCAATGGATGAATATATAACCTATATGAACGTATTAGATTGTAAATTGAAAAATTAATAATTAAAAATATTGTTATGAGTGAAAAAAATGCTATAAAATACCCCCTCAAATGAAATATACAGGATTATCTGAAAATGAAAATGCACTACTTTACACGCGTAATATTAGCACGTGTCAGTACATCGGCATGTAAACAACTTGCACATTGTAATTTCGCTATCTAAAAAGTCATCATGTCGAGGGCGGCTGGTACACTGATTACAACAAACAATGCAACCTTTATACCCCCACGGTTCATGCCTGGGTAAGCAAACATTCAGATATTTCTTTCTTTACGTTTTAAAATACATTTGAAAGATGATTAACATCTTCATCAATAATCGAGGATCAATCATCAGTACTACACCTTTTAAATTAGAGATTCTGTTTTATGTTAAACTATACCGACGAAGGTTGATCTGCATTTTCAATGGAATATTTTTTATAATGGCCAAAATTAAAATTCTAATTTTGCACAGACTATAATTTATAATAAGCTCTACTTTTTTTTTCAAGACTTAAAGGGTTGAATATATTAGCAGCTGTTATGTTTTATCGTTACATACACAGCCTCACAGGTATTTAAATATCAACTAAAAAAAGGTACATAGTTCTAATAAAATTATATTCTTGAAAATATTTTTTAGTTTTTGGTTATATTAAGTTAATTTCACTCATTGTATTTATTTTTCACATCACATGCAGTTTACATATTTGTACAGCTTTAATATAAGTTTTAATCCGGGTGAAACCAAGATAAGTGAGTTGAGTTGGACATGGATTCTATCAATGTCTTTGACCCAGATATTCAATATAGAGTCCAATAATATACCTTATAATGTTTAAACTGTTGTATGTTTTTACAGGTACCAAGGCCACTGTCCAACAACAAAATATGATTATGGTGAAACATATGGAGAAGCGACTACAAAGCATTTTCAAGATTACCGTTCCCGAGTTTTAAGTGCATCAGCTGACCCTTACTGTCGCGGTGGTGACTTCCCTACATACTACACACACAGACCAGAAACAGTCATTAGCAATAGATCAAGAACAAGAGACAGATGGCTATTAACCCCTAAATATTCCTTAACAAATGTAGATTTTGATAGAAAAGAAGAATTGAAATCATATGACAGGGTATAATTCTTTTTGAATACAATATAAACAAAATTATTTTATATCTTCATTAAAAAAATTTGCATTAAAAGACATTATGTTATAAAATTAATGCACAAAGATACATGTACATTGTAGGTTGTTGACAGATTTAAATAACCTTTTTGGGATGGGAGGGATTAATTCATCCACTTACATTATGTTATGACATATCTTTATTAACAATTAAGTATTAAATGTATAAAGTAACATTTGTAACTTCAGAACTGGACAAACATGAATATTGTTTGATGATAACAATAAATACTGTTTGGCAAATATCTTATTAAGTTTTCCTTGTTTTTCAGCTTGCACAGAGACATAGGGAACATTACGTTGACAAATCAGGAACAGTGAAAAGAACTGCACACTTTAATTTACCTAGTGATGCTGAAGATCAATTACGTAGAAATGTTAAGTTGTAAGTTATGGGTGTACAAACTGCTTGATTGATATAGCTGTCTTTGTTTTATAAATGTATGCTTATTAACTGCACAAAGCTTTAGCTTATATGTCTTAATATTGATCACATAATAACCTTTACCTTGCATGGTTTCTTTTCTCTTGTGTTATTTCTTTTTGGAATATGATAAAATATTATATTACAGTTGAGGAATGAGTAAAAATATTTACAGGACTGTTGGAAATTGCAAAGCTAAAAGATTTTAAAAAAAATTAGGACAAAACATGGACTATTACAATAATGTATTATAAAAGTTGTGGGAAATTTCTATGTATGACTGTTATTTGTAGTTGGATGCTTTCTATATAAAATTACTTTGATATTTAAGAACTCTTCAGAAATGAGATACCATGTGTATACTTATTGTTTTAGCAAAAAGTAGTTAGTAAGTTGGTGTGTTTAACATCCTACACAACAACTTGATAAGTCAGACGGTAATTCAATAAGGCAAACAGTAGACAGTTTAGATTTGCTAATGTTTATTAATATATAGTACTTTGTTAATGTTTTGTTTGCTTTAGTTCTATTCAGTCTTTCTCTCTTTTTCGTTGTTGAAATTTTTGCTGTTGGTGCAATTATTTGTTAAGTTTTCTAGAGTTTATTTATATTTTCTATTACGTTTAGCCTTAATAGTCTGTAGTATGTAGCTTTTTGTCCGCACTTAAGTTAAAATTAAATTTGACCAATATACAATGATATAGCTAAATTCTCTTAAAACGTTACTAATATAAAATGCAGAATTAGTTTTCTGTGCATATTTCTGCACTAATATTTTAGACTCTTAGGAGAAATGACCTTCTCTTTCTAGTTATTTTCAATTAATTGTTTTGTAAAAAAAAAATAATATACTATTCTTGTGTCTGCTTAGAAAATAATTTGAAAAATCGCTTTAAAGTAGAGTAGAGAATTTGGACAATTTGGTATATATATAATCTAAATGTACATCATATAACATGTATGCATGCCTAGTTTATAGATGTAGTCAAATGTACACCCATACAATTAAACAAAAATTTGTTGAAAAAATTTTTCATTTTAGTCTGAATTTTAAGTGTTAAAAAATAGCTACTAAAACATGTATCATGATAATAAGTGGGAAATGATTATATGTCAGTATGTCACACAAATTTTTGCTTTTTTCAAAATATTTCATTTATGGCACATTTTTAGCAAGAGCATTTGACATGCAATGAATTTTTATTAAGAATTCACATTGTGTGTGGCATTGCAAAAGCACTGGAAACAACTTTTAATTTATAAAACACAAAGAGTAATTTGTTATTTGCTAACCATCTGTGTGTGATTTTGAGTTTGCACGCTGATTTGATCGTGTGGTGTGTGGTAATGGTCTAAAGAGATAACAGTTCACACATGGTGAGTACAATGTCTGACACAGATCTTTGCTCTGTTCTTCTACTCTATCTTCTTTGTTAAAATAAAATGGACAGTTACAATGTATTAAATATATTACATGTTACAAGTTTGTCTTCAAACTAAAAAACACATCTGATTGAATAGTGTCAACCATTATATACATGTCCTGATTTTTTATGCTAAAGTTATTAAAAATCCATTATCTATCCGATTTTAAAGTATAGATGTAGTAGAATATATAATATTTCATCAGTAACAGTACCTTAATTGATTTGGACTGTAATAGAATTAAATAACAACCTTGAATGAAATAAAATACAGGTCAGGCTTCTGGTAAATAATACTCATTATTGTGCTGAGTCCCAATTAGCTTTCTTGTCTGTCATGAGGTGGCAGATCGACAGAAATTGAAAATTAACTGTATTCTTGAATCAGCTGTTTATAAATTCCTACCTTTCAATTCAATTCAAAGTCTTTTATTGTTCAAATATCAAACTTACATTTAAACTAAGGGATTAGATAAAAACTAATCAGATAAAATTGATAAAAGAGGGATTTTTTTCTAATTCTTGCACAATTTTGAGAGTTTCTGTGTATATATATTATTCTTATACTGAGCCAACCAAATACCATTGTTTTAACTTTTGTTTTATAATGTTGTGACCTAACTCATCACCTCCAGCACTCAAAATGAGCACTCAGACCACCACAGGACCATCAACATATTTTTTCAGTCTGTCACAAAAGTGTATCAATACAGAATCTTATGCAAAAAACATACATAGGAATTGACTTCATTTTGTTACTTAGTGTATAATTTGTTTGCATCACATCCACTTTTTGAAAAAAAATTTGAAGAAATAGATTTGTTGGGAGTTTCACATTACAAGACAATTGCTTTGCCATTTCTATATATTGAGAAAACACAAAATGTACAACAAATTGCATTGGAATAGAACAGAATTACTTAACTCCTGTCCAGTTGTGTACTTTTTATTTTATTTTTTAGGGGGGGATTCACATGTACCCTGCCTTTCAACATATTGGGAGTAAATATAGACTACATTATCGCCCGGAATTTTTTTTGCATAATGTTAGAAACAGGAAGAATGCAAGGCTGTTCAGAGCATTCCTATCCTGTCTCATGCCAAGTAAAAATAAAATTTATGTTTTGAACTTTTAAGAAAATTAATGTTTATATAAAAAAGAAGATGTGGTATGATTGCCAATGAGACAACTCTCTACAAGAGACCAACTGACACAGAAATTAACAACTATAGGTCACCATACGGCCTTCAACAATGAGCAAAGCCCATTCCGCACAGTCAGCTATGTTCTCTTTGTACTGCAACTCAGAAAGTGTTCAAAATAAAATAATTTGGGAAGAAATCAATAATTTTGAATTTGAAGCAGACAACTTAAAAATTGCATATATGTGCACTATTTTGTGTAGTCAAAGATGATTCAAAGATAAAACTCTACAGAAACAGGTCACAAATATGATTGTACATGGTCAGTAACTCTGTAAGCACATGTATAAGGTCAATTTTTACTGTGTAAACTGTATTATATGTCTCTGGGTGTACTAATGTTCTACAGTAAATGCAAAGCCTCCAACAGTGGATTGCTTCATCATTTGTTTATGAAAGTGTATCTAAACTATAGAATGAATCTGCCTCCTGTTGCTCTTGTTAATTTACTGTCCTTTGACACAAAGACAGCTTTTTTATTTGATATCATGCAAACTTTTGCTGATGTGTATAATACTTGAAAGAACAAGATATTTTTGACACAAAAACAAACATTTACATAAAAAATATCACCCAATGTAATATATGTGGACTAAAATATTACACCTAAGTAAAAAGCTTTATACATATTTGTCCCCCGTGTAAGTGTTGCAAGGGACATGGAAATACCAGGCGTCTATCCGTCCTGTCTTGTTAGCGCTCTCACAGGTACAATTCTTACCAGATTTTTATAAAACTTATACTATAGGTTAATATCAGCAATATCTCGTACAAGTTATATAATGGTGGACGATCGACTTTTTTCAAAGAGTTATGCCCCTTGGAAATATTAAATTTATGGAAAATGGCCTCGTTAGCGCTCTCACAGTTTCAATTCTTGCCAGATTTTTATAAAACTTATAATACTATAGGTAAATATCGGCAATATCTCGGACAAGTTCTATAATGGTGGAGGATCGACTTTTTTTAAAAGAGTTATGCCCTTGGAAATATTAAATTTATGGAAAATGGCCTCATTAGCGCTCTCACAGTTTCAATTCTTGCCAGGTTTTTATAAAAAATTATACTATAGGTTAATATCAGCAATATCTTGAACAAGTTCTATAATGGTGGATGATCGACTTTTTTTAAAAGAGTTATGCCCCTTGGAAATATAAAATATGTGCAACGCGGGGGACATTGGAACTCTGTTCTTTTATTTTATTTTTATTTAATTATTTGTGCAATAAATTGATAGAGGTAAAAATTGTATAAATCTGAAGCAGACATTATAATGACATAAAAACATATGGTGTAATACTTGTAGGGATATAGTCTATTCTAAATTCATTATATGCATATTTAAAAAAAAAATGCTAAAATAATCTTTTTTTATTTTTAACAGTGTAATAATGTCCACACGACATTCAGATAACATCAATCTGCCATTCCTTGACCATGAGGCTAGAAGATCACCTCTAATACGAAGAATTGCTGATAGAAGTTCCCAACGAGACAGAGAAATGAGAGATGTTTATTTTGAAAAGCGATAATTTGATAGACAAATTAGTTATGTTGTTTAAGATGATCACACTTTATGTACTTGCTTCAAAATTTTGTACCAATTAGGAATATTTTTTTTACAGCTGTGTAACTGTTTACGTAGCTTAATGAGATTTGAAATGAATGTGAAAAATAATAAAAGCAGGAAAAATTTCTTGTCAGCTTTTGAAACCTAGTTGCAAGCTTCAGTAGTCAAATTTCTTTATATGATCATTGATTGATGAAAAATTATTCAGAAGCAATATGAAAACAGATCTTGTGCAATTAGCTCAAAAAATATATGCTGACTTGAAAAGCCTTTCAATGAAAATTGTTGTATAATTTGTTTCAGGTATTTATTTATTTTTCTGTTTTAAAAGACTTTATTATTGTTGAAATGTGATAAGAAATTTTACTATTTTTTTTATAAATTATATCTTTACAATGAATTTATATTTTTTTCATAATGTTAATGTATGTTATATACAATTTATCCTTTCCTATACATGTCAATGAGAAGTTTACATTTAAATGGTGGTAGTTCTGAATGTCTCAAAAAGGACAATTAGGTGTAATTGTACATTTTATAAAATGTTTGTAGTAGCTTTGTAATAGTTTTATTGTTCTGCTTTTTTTTGTTTTGTTGTTTTGAAGAAGTAATGTGATTATGAAGGGAGATAATTCACTTGAGAAATTTGGTCAAACATGCTTTTCGTCTTACAATTTTCGATGTTTGACCAAATAATTAGTACAATATAAAAATTATATTAAAAAAATATGTGAATAAAGCAAAAATATCAGTCATTACATTGTGCATAATTCTGTGATAATTACCTGTTATAAAATAATAAATTTTAAGTGTCTGTATTCCATTGTATTTCTATCACTACTTTTACTTCATAAAAACAAGAACAGGAATAACCAAAATATTGAACAATACAATAAATCACACCAACCTCAAACTAACAAACAACAACACAAGATAGCCTAACAGAGTACAACATTTGGTGGGTTTAAACCAGTTTTATGTGCACAAAATTCATGTGACTTAAAGAATTATACCCGACAGAATTTTGGCCTAAATATACTACTGCAGCAGTTTGTCTTCACAACTCCTCTGAATCCACACAACAGAATTTCATGAAACTTTGTAGTTAATTAGGACATACTCTGAAGATGTGCATATCAACAGAAAATTATGATTCAATTTTTTTTCTAGGAGTGGTACTCCTTTGAACATAGAATTTTGGCCAAAATATGCTACTGCAACAGTTTGTCATTGCAACTCCTCTGAAACCACACAAAATAATTTTGTGAAACTTTGTAGATAATAAGGACATACTATGTAAATGTGCATATCGACAGGAAATTATGATTCAAACTTTTTCTAGGAGTTGAGCCACTTTGAACTTAGAATTTTAGCCTAAATTATACTACTGCAACAGTTTGTCATCGCAACTCCTCTGAAACCACACTACAGAATTTCAAGAAATTTTGTAGTTTATAAGGACATAAGTATAGATGTGCATATCTACAAGAAATTTTTATCAGTTAACTGTTGTAGTAGTTATGAGTCTTTGAACCTAGGAATCTGATGAGATTTTGTTTGACAATGTGGGGGCGTTGGGTATGTGAGCATACTCACAAAGGTTCTGTAATTATCTTGGCCATATTGCATATAATTTCAGAATTCATAAAAAAATACTATGGCATATGGATGATGGTAAGTACACAAAGCAGGAAGCTAGCATGAAAGCATAGATATAGCTGTGCACATTTGTATATAGCTAAATACAAATTCATTTCACTCCTTTCAGTTTCTTACCTATAACATATTTGTTTGACATTTTGCAAAGAGCAAAAATACAAATACTGCCACTTAGCTCTTTAATACTTCTCTAGTCTGGAAAAAACAGAAGAACTAGGTCAAACATGTTTGAGAAATATATGCTATTTTACCTCAGAACCTATAAGACTTGTATCAAATCCAATTCGCTATAAAATGACCAAAATTTGAAGAAGAAAATAACCAACCAAAGAAGAGGAATGTGTCCTTTGAAACAGGTGCCTTTATTCCCAATAGATGAGAGTTTTGGGCAAATCATTTCATTTGTGAAAATGAAAACAAGAAATGTGTCAAATATAGACTTAATTCACGATTTGTCCGTTTTCCCATTACTTAGATCACATCTATATGTGTCTAATATTAGTTGAATCTGACATATGTGTAATAGTTCTTTTTATTACTGTAAAGGACAAGTCAAATCAAAGACTTACATTTGTATTTGCTGCTCCTTTGCCAAGCACAACACATTTAGTAATGAGAGGAAAGATAGGAAGTCATGGAGTCAAAATAATGCGTCTTAGTAGGATGACTTGTCTTCCTGCATTATGTTATCTTGTGAACTCACATTTTTATCCCATTGAGACATTACATTCCTGAATATATCATACCAAGGGTATAACAAGAATCACCATAGTGACCCTGAATATATCATATCATGGGTATAACAAGAATCACCATAGATACTGGGCAGTACATCCCACATTATCAACAACCAAAATTCTGAAAAAATTATTCAAACATCAACACACACCTGGTCCAGATGGCCTGACTTGGTACCGGTATTAATTGCCACTGGAGCCATCAAGCAATCAATTTGTTAAAATTAGAAATGATTTTGTAGGCAGCTGAAACCCTAAATTTGATTATTTTCTTCTTTGATAAGGGGCATAACTCATGATTAACAAATTTGAAATATGTAAACTCCACCTGAATTCGTGCTACTTTATATTGTTCTAAAATTTCAAATAATTCTCTCAAAGCATGCAATAGTTATTGGTCAGAAACATCAAATTTATCTATTATCCAGTGCACTGCTCAATCATGCCACAAATATGAAATGTGTTTGATAGATTTTGGCCTTGGTTTTTAATAAAATATCAAATCATTTAGTTGAAGCATTCCTGTATGATGGGAAGACTCAAATTTGGTTATTTGTACATTTTCATGAATAATCTCAAGAGATCCAAAGCTGTGAAATATGACATGTACTTATGGATCATCGTGTAAAAATGTCAAATGATAGCAGAACAAAATTGGGCTCTTCCAAACAATAACAAATGTGAAAAAACAAACAAACTTTTATCTTACTATACAGTATGGGCTTTGCTCATTGTTTAAAGGCTCTACGGTGATCTGTCATTGATCACATCTTTGTCTGTAATGAATAATTGTCACATTGGAAATAATTACACATCTCCTTTTTATGACCCCGCTGTAGGCAACAGTGGCATTAAGTGTTACCCTTGACCGTCCTTCTGTCCATCCAATTTTCGTTTCCACACTCTTAACTTAAGTTTGCCTCATGCAAATTTTATGAACTCATACACAATGCTAAAAACCAAAACTAGCAGATAAGTTCGAATTTGGGCAGTAAGTCACTTACCGTTCTAGAGTTATGCCCATTTTTAACTTGGAAAATTGCAAAGCTTGAGTGGGGGCATTCATGTCCTCAGACACATTCTTCTTTTATTGTGTCAAGTGTTTCAGAACATACTAGCATAAATAATTTAGTTGAAGCATACTCAATTTGCTCTAACATGAGTGCACATGCTGAAATGTCTCGCCTGCTTTACTGACCATTGATTTTATGTTGATAGTCCGAAATATAAAGTTTCACATAAACTTTACATGATCCAAGAAAATGAGGTCAAGATCAGATAAACCAAGCCAGAAATACATGTACACCATAAAATAGTTCCATACATCTAAGGGGTCTCATTGGGTTGGGGGGGGGGGGGGTCTGATCCTGGATCCCGCTTATCATTGTAATAATAGCGCTTGTTATTTCATGTGTCCCGCTCGAACATTTTCACGCAAAATAATTTGACTTTCACGTGTCGCGCCATGAAAACTATATTGACCAATGAACCATGAAAATGAGGTCAAGGTCAGATGAACTGCCCATACAGACATGTACAGTTATTGTACACCTCACAATCATTCCATGGATCAAATATACCGTGTAGTTGACCTATTGCATGCAGCATATAGTATCTAAGAAACAAATTTACTAGGAAAACTTAACATTGACCAATGAACCATGAAAATGAGGTCAAGGTCAGATGATACCTGCCTGCTGTTTAAGAAAAACAGACCAAAACACAAAACTGAACATTGAGCAATGAACCGTAAAAATGAGGTCAAGGTCAATTAAAAGTTGCCAGACTGACATTAAGATATTTCCATACACAAAATATAGTTGACCTATTGCATACAGGATTAGAAAAACAGACCAAAACACAAAAACTTAACTTCAATCACTGAACCATGAAAATGAGGTCAAGGACAATGGCAATATGACAGACGGAAACTTCATAACATAAGGCATCTATTTACAAAGTATGAAGCATCCAGGTCTTCTACCTTCTGAAATATTAGGCTTTTAAGTAGTTAGTTTACGGAGCCACCGCCAGATCACTATCCCAATGTTTCGCTTTCTGCAACGGCTCAACAAAAGTTGTCTATACTCATATCATTAAGGATCTAATTGAAATGTGATATGCAGTGATTTAACTAGGCAGCACTGGTTACAGGACATTTTAACCAAGCTTTCTCTCTATATGTGAAGAAGGAATTTGTAAATGTTAAATTATCTTTTTCATATTATATCTATAAAAATGGAAATGGACCTGAAGTGTTAAGCTGAATCACAGGAAATGTGTCAAATTTCTTCTCAATCACAATCATCATTCAATTTTTCAGGCTGAGATAATTACTTCAAATGGATTTATAACTGCATCATCAATTAGGGAGCTACCATTTGATTTTTAGGGGGGGGGGGGGGCTAGGATGAAATTTGAAAAAAAGGCAGGACAGGAGTTTTGAGTAAAAGAAAGGCAGGATGAGACACTTTGCAAAAAAAAAAAAGGCAGGATGACAATTTATGTAAAAAAAAGTCAGGATAAACTAATAAAAAAAAGGCAGGACTGAATAGAGTGAAAAAATAAAAAGGCAGGACAGAGATTACAACTAAAAAAAATGCAGGACAATAATTTTCATCCTAGCCCCCCCATAAAAATCAAATGGTAGCTCCCTTATCCAACATAGATCATTATCATAAGTCACAACATCAGACAGGATATTTATTGTAAGTGATAAACAACCAGTTACTTAAATCCATTATTGAGCATTTGTGTTTAGAGACCTCTTTATGTTTTCTCTCTATTTATACTTATATGTCCTCTTGTTGAAATTTTATTATTTTCCACAGAATAAAACCGCTAATTCATGGCTCTATTGCTTTATATGTTAAATTCTGTCCATATTTCATAGCCATTTCGTCTTTGGTTCAATTAAAGTGACAGTCATTTCAAGTTAAAACAATACCTTAGCCTTGCTTGTGCTGAAAAATTCAACATACCTTTATTTATATATAAGAGAGCACTGGTTCCAGAAATTTCAGAAGTGCAAAAACAGGTACTTATGTGTTCTTCCTGACCTTATTTTAGAGCTAAATAGGTATTTTATAGGTTTATTTGTACTTTAAATATAGAAAGTGGTTGCACGACAATGATTAAATTCTATTTTGAAAACATAAATGAAATATTAAACAAACAAAGTGTGATATCAAATATATATATTTATTTCAATTTCTGATAATAAATAAATTAGTGGTATTTTATGGATGAAAAAAATAAGTATGACAAATTCCTCTAACATTAAACAAATTTTTATAACCAGTACAAGATGTTTTGCGATAAGCAAAAAACACTAGATGTATTTTGAAAGAGCTATCAAAAAAAGTTCTATTCCAAAACAATATTAATGTCTAATGTAAAAAAATATAAGCCATATCAATATGTCGCAAAATTAAACCAAATAAACAATTATAAAAAGATAAACAGCAACAAATAAAATCCTCTAACAATTTAACAAGCAAGAATAACCCCTTTAATAAGGGGAAACAAAATATAATAGTTTAATCACAGACTGTTTATAATAGAAAATTATTTATGATCCTCTAATTTCTTCACTTTGTAGTTTTATTTTATTCTTCAGTGATAAAATTAGTTCTTTTCTATCTTTTGGAGGAGTTGCAAAATACTGTTTTTGGTCATCAGAGTATTTTTCAACAGTTTCTGTTAAATCTCTGTAAGTCCAGTCTTGCCAACTATAGTTAAACCTTTCCAAAAGTTCTATTCTCTTTTCACAAGTTGGAATGACATCTATTGGGTTTTCTTGAATGAGACTTGGGCATTCAATGTTTTTAAATATAAGAACACCTCGTAGAGCAAACCAGCCTCCATATTGTGGATGAATACAAACTCCACACATCTTCTGTAATAACAAAAAATAAGTTGGTTTGAAAATAAACATCAATCTAGACCAAAAGTATGCAAACTTAAAGGAATTGTAATTCTTTAATCCTATTTTTATTGAAGAATTTAACTATAAATCTACAACTCTATATATAGTAAATTGCCTATGTTTATTTTGATTTGATTCACATTGTAGAACATCAATTTTGAATTAAAATGGATAGTATTTGAACTAAGATACTTTGGGGTTATTTCTTAAAAGTTTTTTTTTATCTTGAATAGCCAATTATAAAAGAAATTTAACCTGTTAGGCCTTCACCAGTTTAAGCTGTTAAGCCTTCATCAGTTTTAGCTGTTAGGCCTGCACCATTTAAAAATTGTGTTACTGTACATCTATTCAAAATTGCAGTTTGCTTGACACAACCAACCAGTTAAATCAGTAAAAGGTCTTTGGCAATTGTAACTGCACACAACATACATAGGTTTTGAAACTTGACGAAGACCATACCATGAAGATTTAATAACTTTTCAGTTAACGTTTAAAAAGATAATATAGGCCACTGATGAATTATGTTATATTTATATCCTACCCAATATCTGATACTTCCAGAAAAACATAAGTATCGGTATCTATTCCTTACTTTGAACATTTAACTGATGCCATCTTATATCAAGAACAATAACTCTGGTAAACGCTGTGTATTGAATATACACAATCATTACATGACATCGCACAACCAGTTGAACTCTTTAAAATCAATAGAAGGTAGGATATAAAAGATTACCTTTTTTGTGTCCCATGGATCTTCAGAAACATCTGATCTTTGATAAAAATAAGCTGCACCAGACACATGGGCTACAGTCTGTACCAAAACTTTTGGTCTGTGGTTTGGATGAAGCTCATAGTCATGTATTGACTCTATGTTATAATCTGGAAATTTCTGTAAAAAATAAGTGAAAACAAATATAATGAAAAATAAGATTAACTTTATCTTATTAACAACAATAGCCTTTATTTAAACAGAACATACGGGTACACAAACAATTTAATAAAAATAAAATTAGTTTTGTTTGATATTGTTCCAAATGTAACCCTTTAACAGTAAGGTAAAACAGTTTCTTACATCTTGAATGAGTTCTTACAACTTATTTATGGATTACTATTTGTTTTAAACTATTATATAACTGTACAGTTATTATTAGCATAGATGACTTTTTGAGGTGTTTATTTGTCATTGGATTGCTGTCGTATTGTTGCTCATCCATTTCAAAATAAAACTGCTTTTCCTTGTGTAATTGGTTCAATTGTCAAAAAAAAATTGTATTTACAAGTGCAGACGTTAAACAGTTTCCCAAATGTTCAAATTTATTGAATAAATAAAACAACAAGAATTACTGATATCTTTGATACTAAAACGATTTATATCAATAACATAGGGGACAAATACAAACAGTTTATGTCAATAACATAGGAGACAAATACTAACAGACAACTAGAACAACAAAGACAACCCCAACCTTACATGTATACAACAGCTTTTTGGTGGACGTAGTATCACCCACAGTAGAACAACAAAGACAACCCCAACCTTACATGTATGCAACAGCTTTTTGGTAGATGTAGTATCACCCACAGTAGAACAACAAAGACAACCCCAACCTTACATGTACACAACAGCTTTTTGGTGGATGTAGTATCGCCCACAGTAGAACAACAAAGACAACCCCAACCTTACATGTATGCAACAACTTTTTGGTGGATGTAGTAATGCCAACAGTAGAACAACAAAGACAACCCCAACCTTATATGTATGCAGCAGCTTTTTGGTGGATGTAGTATCGCCAACAGTAGGACAACAAAGTCAACCCCAACCTTACATGTATACAACAACTTTTTGGTGGATGTAGTATCACCAACAGTAGGACAACAAAGACAACCCCAACCTTACATGTATGCAACAGCTTTTTGGTGGATGTAGTATCACCCACAGTAGAACAACAAAGACAACCCCAACCTTACATGTATGCAACAGCTTTTTATTACAGGTAATAACTTTGACAGTGCACATAAATTTTAATCATGCTGATTGTTCATATTGTTGTTACGCAAAATAAAAGCAGAAGTTTTAAGTATATATAATTAACCTGTTTAATTTGTTGAAAATAGTGAGCGACACACTGATCCAATGGATCTTTGACACCAGTACATTCTTGTCTACAGATGAATGGTAAGAAAGCATTCTCAAACATTGAAGGGGTACTAATGATCAGATAACCAATTGTATCATAGGTCTCTGGTAGTATAAATCTTTTATCCACTTTGTCATTGTACCATCCAATCTGAAAATACAGTATATATAGAAGATATATATAGATTTATAGATTAATTTATTGATTTGTATATATAATAGAATATTATTGTATTGGGATGATATCACATTTAATGCATACATGTCCATTTTTCATCTTCTTACACTCTTGATATTCATGATAATAAAATTGTTGGTGTCAGGTGGGTGTTTACCTACTAACCCATTATCTGAGGGATCTACCATAGACGTCAAACATTTCAAACCTCCAAAGTGTTTTTTTTCCTTTTTAAAATATTATTCTAGTATTAGTTTTGATATAAAACTCATTTTGTGCTGTTTTTATTTGACTTTTAATATTACTTTTTATCTTGCTTTTTAGCAGTTTATCCTCCAATGCTCAAAGTATGAAATTAAAACATTAGCTTACATGGTACTCATGGCCCTTCATACTTCCCTTTAAGAAAACTTAGGGTTTGTATGAAAGCATAATAGCAGGACAATTTTGTCACATTCTGAGACAAAAGCAATACAATAATGCCAAACACAAAGGGATGATGATTACGGTCAGACATTCTAATAAATGTCTCATTAAAGACGGTCACTTTTTACATTGAATTCAGTCGGAATGTGGAAAACAGTGGTGAAAGATACCAAAAGGGACATTCGAGGTCATAAGTCGAAAATAAACTGACAACGCCATGGCAAAAAAAGAAAAAGACCAAAAGAGAAACAACAGTAAAAAAAAAAACACAACATAAAAATTATAGACGAAAAGTGGATCATTTGTATATTTAGAAAAATAAATGTGGATAGTGTCCACATGTGGACACAGATTATGCCCCCGCTTGCATATCATATAGTTATAAAGGGAAATAACTGAAGAACGGTAAAAGTGACGCTACCCAAATTTTAACTTGATCTGAGTTTTGTGGTAATAAGCATTGTGTGTAAGTCTCATAACATTTGGTTGAGGCTAACTTCAGTAGAGAACAGAAACTAAAAATTCAGCAATTTTTCTATTTGTAAACATGCATAACTCTGGAACGGTTGTGTATAAGTTTTATAACATTTGGTTGAGACAAACTAGAGAACGGAAACGAAAAATTCAGCAATTTTTATGTTTATAAAGGGACATAACTCAAGAATGGTAAAAGTGTCGCCACCAAATTTTGTACTTAATCTGTATTATGTAGTAATAAGCATTGTGTATAAGTTTCATAACATTTGGTTGATGCAAACCAAAGTTAGAAAACGGAAACAAAAAATTTGTACTTGATCTTAGTTTTGTGGTAATGAATATTGTGTATAGGTTTCATAATGTTTGGTTGGGGCAAACTTAAGTTACAGAATATGGAAACTAAAAATTTGGCAATCTTTCGACTTATAAAGGGGCATAACTCAATAATGGTTAAAGTGACATTGCCCAAATTCAACTTGATCTGTGTTTTATCAGTGGAAGTCAAAATTAAACATTGCATTGTATAAAGCATTGATTGTAGTTGATTCAACTATAATCATGGCCAAAGGAAGATAACTGTGGTCAAAGATCTTACAAATCTATTGCGCAATACTGTGCAATCGAAGATTTCTTCTTGAAACTTCAAAAATTCGAAATTTGAAAAATTTTGAAAAAAAAATATGAATCCTTTAAAAAAATTGTAAACAAAAAATCCCCCCCAATTTATTGAAACCCCCTTGGAGCAATAACCCCAAAACTCAATCTCAGCCTTTCCTTTGTAGTATGGAATCTTGTAGTATAATTTCAGAGAGATCCATACACTTAAACACAAGTTATTGTCTCGAAACTAGAAAAATGCTTCTTTTTGGCCCCTAATTCATACATGTTTGGGACAATTAACCCCAAACTCAATCCCAGCCTTCCCTTTGTTATATGGAACCTTGCATTTGTGGTACAATGTCTGAGAGATCCATACACTTACACACAAGTTATTGTCCAGAAAGTAGAAAAATGCTTGTTTTTGGCCCCTTTTTGGCCCTTAATTCCTAAACTGTTTGCCCCATAACCCATAAAATTAATCCCAACCTTCTACTTGTGGTATTAAACATTGTGGTACAATTTCAGAGCAATTGAAATACTTATATACAAGTTATTGTCCTGAAACTAGATAAATGCTTGTTTTGGGCCCTTAATTCCTAAACGGTTGGGACCATCATCCCTAAAATCAATCCCAACCTTCCTTTTGTGGTATTGAACCTTCTAAAAAAATTTCATAGAGATCCATTTACTTAAACTAAAGTTATTGTCCGGAAACAAATATGTCTTCGGACGACGACGCGGACATCATACCATTATACGATCCCAAAAAATGTTTGCAGTGGTATAAAAATTACTTGATATTTAGAAGAAACTAAACATTTTGCAATTTTTCCATTTATAAAGGGGCATAACTCTAGAACGGTTAAAGTGACGCCACCAAAATAAATTTAAACTTGATCTGTGTTTTGTGGTAATAAGCATTGTGTATAAATTTCATAACATTTGGTTGAGGCAAACTTAAGTTAGAGAAAGGAAACTAAAAATTTTGAAATTTTTCCATTTATAAAGGGCATAACTCTAGAACGGTTAGAGTGACCCTACCAAAATTCAAACTTGATCTGTTTTTGGTGGTAATCAGCATTGTGTATAAGTTTCATAACATTTGGTTGAGGCAAACTTAAGTTAGAGAACGGAAACTAAAAATTTTGCAATTTTTCCATTTATAAAGGGGCATAACTCTAGAACGGTTAAAGTGATGCCACCAAAATTCAAAATTGATCTGTGTTTTGTGGTAATTAGCATTGTGTATAAGTTTCATAACATTTGGTTGAGGCAAATTCAAGTTAGAGAACGGAAACCAATTTTGGGACGTATGTACAGACGGACAAGGGTAAAACTTAATGCCCCCTCCGCTACAGCGGGGGCATAAAAACTGGATTGTTTACAGTTACACAGAATGAGTCATCTAAATATCTTATATATGTCTGGATTAAAAAAACAAATATCTACATATATCAATAAGTGTTGATTCATTGGGTTTTTCTGAAGTTTAGCTATGGAAAATAGGGTGAAGTGTTCACATATGAAGATTTTCTGGAGATATAATTTCACCCTAGGAGTAAATATTAAGCGAGAATTTACATCCAACTAGAGGTGTGGTAAAGTGGCATTTTAGAATATTTTTATGCCCCCGCAGTAGCAGAGGGGGCATTAAGTGTTACCCATGTCTGTCCGTCCTGAACGTCCCAAAAATGGTTCCGTTATCTTACTTTAGTTTGCCTCAACCAAATATCATAAAACTTATACACAATGCATTTTACCACAAAACACAGATCAAGTTCGAAATTGGGTGGCGTCACGTTTACCGTTCATGATTTGTTCCCCATTATAAACATAATAAAATGCTCCGCTGGGCGCAGCTTGATACGACCGCAGAGGTCAAACCCTGAACAGTTGGGGCAAGTATGGACACAACATTCAAGCTTGATACAGCTCTGAATTTGGATTGTGATTAAATATTTGACACAGCATAGGTTTCTGACACAGAATGAATGTGGTCTAAGAACTTAAAATTTTTTAATTTACCTATTATGGTCCAATATCCAAAATCTAAATACATGGTTAGATTCAGCATATCAAAGAATTCAAATTTTGATGAAATCAAACAAAGTTTAATTTTGGACCCTTTTGACCTCAATGTGGACCAATTTGATAACGGGGCCCAAAAATCAAAATACATGGTTAGATTCAGCATATCAAAGAACCCCATATATTCAAGTTTTGTTGAAATCAAACAAAGTTTAATTTTAGACCCCAACTTGGACCAACTTGAAAACTGGGCCCATAATCAAAAATCTAAACACATGTTTAGATTCAGTATATCAAAGAACCCCAAGAATTAAATTTTTGTTAAAATCAAACTAAGTTTAATTTTGGACCCTTTGGACCTTAATGTAGACCAATTTAAAAAACAGGACCCAAAATTAAAAATCTAAATACAAGGTTAGATTTGGCATATCAAGGAACCCCAATAATTCAATTTTTGATGAAATCAAACAAAGTTTAATTTGGACCCTTTTGACCTCAATATGAACCAATTTGATAGCGGGGCCCACAAATAAAAAATCTAAATACATGGTTAGATTCAGCATATCAAAGAACCCCATATATTCAATTTTTGTTGAAATCAAACAAAGTTTAATTTTGGACCCCAATTTGGACCAACTTGAAAACTGGGCCCAAAATCAAAAATTTAAATACATGTTTAGATTCAGCATATCAAAGAACCCCATATATTCAATTTTTGTTAAAATCAAACTAAGTTTAATTTTGGACCCTTTGGACCTTAATGTAAACCAATTTGAAAACTGGACCCAAAATTAAAAATCTAAATACACGGTTTGATTCGGCATAACAAAGAAACAAATGTGGTCAAAGATTTTACAAATCTAATGCGCCATACTGTGCAATTAAAGATTACTTCTTGAAATTTTTCAATATTTGAAATTTGAAAAAAAAATAATATTTGAAGAATAATTCTTTTTAATTTCTGAGATCTGAAATGAGAAAAAATTGACCCCCCCACAATTTCTTTTTACCCCCCCCCCCCTTCCCCCAAAAAAATTCTTTCCCTCAAGATATGGTCATAATCTCAATTCAAATTTCCAATGGAGTTTGCAACCATAATTACCCATTTAAATTTACCATAGTGCTAACTTAATCTATTTTATAATCGAATTTATAATATGGTGTCAAATCTTTCATATGGATTTTTTTGTAAAAAAAAAGATGCAACATTTGCAGATATTTTTACTGGTCTTCCTTTATAAATATGCATTTCTTTAAACATAATTTAAAAGCAGTGTAAGGGAAGTAATCAAAACGTTTTATTTGGATTACCTCCCTTACACTGCTTTTAAATTGTCTTAATTGTTCATTAACCATTACTTTATGCATAATTTAAAAGCAGTGTAAGGGAGGTAATTCAAATGATATATTTCATTTATCTCCCTTACACTGCTTTAAATTATGTTTTGTACTAAAGTATTTGTCCATTAACCAGGACAACCTTGTTTTCCCCCTTTTTTGCCCCTAATTCCTTAACAGTTTGAGCCATAACCCCCCAAAGCAAATCCTAACCATCCCTTTGTGGTATGGAAACTTGTGGTATAATTTCAGAGAGATCCATACACTGTTCGACAAGTTATTGTCTGGAAACTAGAAAATGCTTAATTTTGCCCCTTTTTGGCCCCTAATTCCTTAACTGCTGGTACCATAACTCTAAAAATCAATCCCAACCTTCCTTTTGTGGTATTTAACCTTATGGTAAAATTTCATAGAGATCCATTCACTTAAACTAAAGTTATAGTGCGAAAACCAATGTGTCTTCGGACGACGACGACGACAACAAGCCAACGTCATACCAATATACGACCGCAAAAATTTTTTTTTTTAAAAATTGCCACATCTGTAGTTTTCGTTCTCTAACTTTAGTTTGCCACAACCAAATATTATAAAACTTATACACAATGCATATTACTACAAAACACAGATCAAGTTCCAAATTGGGTGGCGTTACTTTTAGTGTTCATGAGTTATGCCCTTTTATAAACATAAAAATTGCTAAATCTGTCGTTTCCGTTCTCTAACTTTAGTTTGCCTCAACCAAATGTTATGAATTTTATGCTTATAATCACAAAACAGTCTTAACTACCTGAATCCTATATCTGTATGTGGAAGTTGACTCATGTGTTTTTACAAGCGGGAGCATCTGTGGCCTATAGACATATTCTCCATTTATTTATTTTGTATGTTAGTTTGATATTTCTAAATTTTTGTCCCCAGTGCAACGTGTTGCAGGGGACATAGAAATACCAGGCGTCCGTCCGTCCATCCAGTCTTGTAAGCACTCTCACATGTCAATTCTTGCCAGATTTTTATAAAACAATTATCGTAGGTTTAAAACAGCAATGTCTCAGACGAGTTCGAAAATCAGTGCCTACCAACTGTTTTTTAAAGAGTTATGCCCCTTTGAAACATAAATTGTATGGAAAATTGCATCGTTCATGTCGTTAGTGCTGTCATGTGTACAATTCTTGCCAGATTTTTATGAAACTTATATTGTAGGTTTATATCAGCAATGTCTGGGACGAGTTTGAAAATCAGTGCCGATCAAGTATTCTAAAAAGAGTTATGCCCTTTGGAAACAATAATTATATGGAAAATTGAATTGTTAGCGCTCTCATGTGTACAATTCTTGCCAGATTTTTATGAAACTTATATTGTAGGTTTATATCAGCAATGTCTCAGACAAGTTTGAAAATCAGTGCTAATCCACTATTTTTAAAAGAGTTATGCCCCTTGGAAATATAAATACATTGTAATATGGAAATTTTCATTGTAAGTGCTCTCACATGTTCAATTTGTCAGATTTTTATCAAATTTATTTCAAAGGTATATAACAGCAATGTCTTGGACAAGTTCGTAAATCAGTGCCGATCAAATATTTTTAATGAGTTTCCCTTGGAAATATTAAATATATCTCAAGTCAAATTGCTCTGAAGTCTTCAACTCTCTAGTAAGATAACTTTAAAAAGAACAAACACATTTTTTTTTAGGTATTGCCCTTGGACAGAACAGATGAAATATATATGTGTAATGCAGGGGACATTGTAAATCTGTTCTTTTATTGAGCTAACTTTATTATTTCAGAAGATATAGTTATTCTACTGTAGTATTATATTTATATCCTTAAGTTATATTCATAAAACAATAGAATTGGAGATCAAATTCTCCAAACTTAATGAAATTATATATTATTCTTTTATTATTGAAATGCTCGGAAAAGTAAACAGTTTCCTTGTTTATAGTTGTTAACATTATATTCTAAAGCTATATACCGTAGTTATTTAATTAGATTACATCAATTAATATAATGTATTGCTATTACAGGGTAATATATTGGATTAAGATAAATACTACAAAATAAAGAATCCGTAACCTTGAGACTGTGTATACTGCCCGAAACAACACTACAGAGGTCTTTTATCTTTTATACTGATTCAAATAAATCATTTTAAAAATGTAGATTTATCTCCCTTAGTCAGTCAGATTTTTTTAACATATATATTAAGAAAGTCAAATTTTCTTCTTTCCTTGAGATTCTTTTGATTACATTGACCACTCTATTGGATTTTATTTTTTAATTTTCAGTCTATAATATGTTTAAATACTATTCATAAAAGTATATTTTATGAAAAATGAAAAAAAATATGCATATTTACAGGAGCGTAGGAATGCCCTTTAATGTCAGGCGTCATACTATCATTTTCGGCTACTGTTAGCATCAAATTGGTTAAAATTTTATCGTGCTTCGTCAAAATATCCTTAGCGTGATTCGTCAGAGGCCTCAAAGAATGAGCCGTTTCCATTATTTTTGGAAAGAATTTAATGAGATTCGTCAAAATCAGTCGTTTATTTTACAGTCATAAAGAAAGTGTTTATTTTATTGTCATGCACCAAAAATTACCGTTAACGTCATTTGGCCATATTTTTTATCGTTATTCGTCATGAAGGTACCCCCATTACTACCCTCATACAGGGCTTTGGGGAATAACTTTATAATATCTTACACAGATACTAATATCTGTTTAGTAAGGTTCCTGAGAAGAAAGTGTCAGTGGGTGTCTCAAAAAAAAGGTTAACAAACCAGAAATTTCTTTTTTTTTATTAAAGAAATGTTTTAAAAATGGTCCTATTAAAATTATTTGACAATTTGAGGGGTTTTAAAATATATGATGCTTGTACAAATGTAATTATTTTTTGAAGAAGCAAGAGGAAAGATTATTTAAACCTTGAAAAGGAATTATAAATCTGTCAAATTTACTTTAATATTCAAGCAAATATTATGCAACTTGCATCTTAAAGTAAATAAAAGACACGTGTAAATCTAAAAAAAACAACCTCCCTATTTATAAAAGGGACATCTATCATATCATTAGGGTAAACACGACCTGAAGGCTGATAATGAGATACAATTTTCCAACGATACGCTTCCATAAAATTATTTATTACAAAATTCCTGTATATTTCTCAATAATTTTGGTACGTGACATTACCTTGAATGGTTTAACTTCAAATCCTGTGCAATCCAGTTCATTCGAAATAGATTCTGTTAATTTACTCAGCTCAGAAATGTCCATGATTTTGTTTTTACCGGTCATACTGCTCCAGCTGGGAGTCAGTTTCTTTTTTAAGTCTTACAGCAGGAAATCCTGAAACAAGATTATTTGGTAATAGACTGGATTAAGAGTCATGAATCTAACTAATTACAACATAACAACATGAGACAACGACGGTCTGCGGTAAATAAGTAAATATTTTTTCCGAGAGGGAGCAAAGTTAGCAACAATAAAGGTATGTTTGATCTTTCCTGGGATCACATAAAAAAACAATCTACCCCCCCCCCCCCCATTTCTCCTGAACAAAACGGAATTTAAAATAACAAAACTAGAAACACCCAAAATTAAAACAACTCTATAGCAGAGACATATAAAAATATTATATGTCTCTGTCTATGGCAATTAAAGTACAAATTTTACCTACAACAGTGGCGGATCGAGAACTTTTTGTAAGGTGGGGCACTGACTAACCTAAGGGGGGCCCGCTCCAGTCATGCATCAGTGATTCTCTATATAATCAACCAATTTTTTCCCACAAAAGGGGGGGGGGTGGGGCCGCCAGGCCCCCCCCCCCCCCCCCCCCCCCCCCCCTTGAATGCACCTATGTACAATATACCCACCGATCAGTATTCATGAATACGCTTCATGGGGCATAACTATAATAACTGCAGAATATTCTCTAGGACCCTTTAAGGTGGTATAGGTGTCTTCCGCCATCTTCGATTGTAAAAATAGCAGAACTTAATAGGTCTTGATATTTAGTCAAGTCAGCAAATTTCGATGCAGGAATGCAATTTAAAGATAAGAATTTTCATTTAATTGAACAAATTTATGTGATTATAAGTTATAATAAATCATATTTTTACAAAAGAGGAGTATTATTGCTTTATTTCGATTTTTTTTAAACTTTGTGTATTAAGGGGTGGTAACTCAGAAATACTACAATTTGTTTAAGAATTGCAGGAAATTTTTCTATTTTTATGTTATAGCAAGAAATAATGTATGGTGACCCCATTTTTTCTTTTGCTATCATAAACGCATTTTGTAAGAGCTATCCTCTCATATTCTATTTAACAATTATGTCATTCAGTTTTCCTTCAATTCACATTATGATACTTTTTCGCCGTATAATCCATACAAATTTCGATTTGGGCTTCCTAAATTACACACGAAACCTTATAAATTTTGTATCACATCTGCACTAGTAAATGTTTAATTACACATATGTCGGTTATTCTGACTTGTGCTCTTTTAACCGTTGAGGAATTTGTTTAAAATATTCAGACAAAGCTCATGTTAACATTGGTATTTACCATTTCTGGAATATTTAAAAATCTCTTTGGAAGTCTTGGACAGGCTACATTCCTTTGAAAGTTATTCACTTTAGGCCACGCTCGTTAGATATTTCAGAATCTCGTTTAACATGTAGTAAAACATTGGCGGATCCAGGGAAGTGGGTGTTCCTGGGGTTGGAACCACATTTTTTCAGATTTTTTTTTTAATTAAAATTTTTTTTTCAATCATGTGAACGTTTCATTGTGTTTCGGGGGTTCGTGCCCCTTTTTAAAATGGCTGGATCCGCGCCTGTAGTAAAATACTATTACAACTACGGACTCTTCCAAATACTTTGGGATTTGGCTTGACGAACATCTTACGTTTACAAAAAACAAAACAAAAACACAAAAAATCAACAACTAAAGAACTGGCTTAATCAGCGGTTTATCTGAATCTCTTCTCAGGTGGTATATGTCTAACGAAGTTTATACAACACTCTACAACTCAGTCTATGGTCGAGCCTATTTTGATGTACGGAAGCGGAATTTGGGGAAGTAAATTGTATAGACCTGTATAGTATAATTATTGATTGAAAAAAGTCGCCGAAAACGTTAAACTTTTCAATAATATTGAATGACTGGGAGAGCTTTATAATGAACGCGGAAATTGTTATGGAAATAAATTTATAACCTATAGCTTATCATCGACAATACAAAAGAAACTGTTCCGTTGAACCATGTATCTTAAAAAATTAAGTGCAACCACCGATATTAGGGTACATGATTTTATATCGGAAACCAGTGCATAGTGCAAGGATGCCTTGCCATTTTCATTTGCCGTTTTTAGTTTTCGGTTGAAACAAAGAAAATAAGAATACATATTCTAGGTGACATATAAAGTATTTAAAATAGTCAACTTTTTTCCTGAATAATTACTTTCAAATTTTAAACTAATCGGGCGTCACTTTAACAACTGTGTTATTGAAGAATTTTTTTTTTAATTTTGTAATTTGTGTATCATTCATCCGTTTTGGTTTTTAAATCGCAGTTTGAGCCATTTTTAATACTGTAAAGTTAAATAAAGTTTATAAGATATTTTTAAAATGGCCCTTGTGTGAATTAATTTCAGTGGAGATCGGACCAACATCCTTATAAAATTGAGAAGTGAAAGGGAGAATGTGTCAAAGAGACAACAACACGACCAAAGAGCAGTAAACAGCCTAAGGCCACCAATGGGTCTTCAACACATCGAGAAAATCCCGCACCAGGAGGCGGGCTTCAGCCGGCCCCCAAACAAAAATGTGTACTAGTTCATGTTTATGTTGGTGAACACGTTATTAGTTGGTGATCAAGATCATTCGATACAATTCCATAAGGAACTTCCAAATGACTATTTCACCCTTGTTTGATCCCATAAGTCTGCAGTCACTTTATGATTAGAATGGTACACATAATATAAAAATAAAAAGATGTGGTATAATTGCTAATGAGACAACTCTCAACCAGAGACCAAATGATTTAGAAGTTAACAACTATAGGTCACCGTACGGTCTTCAATAATGAGCAACACCCATACCGCATAATCATGCAGCTATAAAAGGCATCGAAATGACAAATGTAAAACAATTCAAACGAGAAAACAAACGTTTTGATTTAAGGTGATGGTATGGAAGACTGCATCGTAATATATATGTTTATTTCACGTATTTAAAAATTTAGAAGTGATATTTGGCATTTTTGATGTAGTTTAAAAAAAGAAGTACTATTTGGCATTTATGATGTAGTTTATAAAAGAAGTACTATTTGTCATTTATGGTGTAGTTTAGAAGGGGTTGAGGGCGGTTGAGAGATCAACTCACTAAAAAGCTTATGGATTACACGTTTAACAGTTTACAATTCGTAGGAAAATGCATTATTTGTTTAAATATTTGCAATTTCTTGCAAAAAAAAATTATTTGGTTTTGAAATAATCATACTGACATCTGTATGCATCGTGTTATCTTAATCAAACATAAGGATGTGAAAGTATTCAGAAAGTTAATCGAAAAATGGAGATAAAATTTGGCCAATTGCTATCCTTTTTAGTGATGAGTATATCATAATATTATTCCAAAAGGAACGATATTTTACCTTTTACTAGACTCTATACATGAATTTTAAATATAAACACTGCGATAGCTAAAAAATGAAATATTGGTTTTGAAGACCCACATTTTGCATGGAATGTAACTTCAATATAGACATGCATTAGATCATTTAATATCCACTCTTAGTTTATTACATATTGGTCCAGATGCCCATGATTTACACCTGATCTTGGACACTGGAAGCATCATAATAGTCCACATTGTCACTGTACACCCTATTCTTAATGGTAATCATTTGTCATTTTGATTTTTCAGTAAGCTAAATATTAAAAAAGGTATTCTATTGTTCCTAAGCATATACCAATCGCTTTGTCCGAAATAAATGATTTCCGGATGATAACTTGAGTATCTCTTGCTTGATTGGACTGAAACTGAAAAATATTGTAGATACAGGGTAGGTTATTGACGTAGAGTCAGTTACTTGTGGAGCAGAATCTGTTTACCCTTCCTGAGTTCACCACTGGCTTTTGATTGAGGTTCGTGTTGCTCAGTTTTTACCCAGTTTTCTATGTTGTGTTTTGTATACTGTTGTTTGTATTTTTGTCTTTTCCGTTTTTTTGCCATGGCATTGTCAGTTTTTCATCGATTTATGAGTTTGGATATCCCTTTGTTATCTTCCGCCTCTCTTTTCCTGTTACCAAAAAATAGATACATTTTGGAAAAAAAATATTTTCCGAGTGTTAATGTTAATGTTAATGGAAGATATAAGAAAAGGGAAGGAGCCTATTTTGGGGTCAATATGTCAAAGGTCAAGGTCATTTACTAAAAATAGATTTAGGTGAAAAAAGATATGGTTTAACTAGAGTTTCCCTTGCTTGTTTGGATTGAAACTGTATCAATGGAAGATACTGGGAAGGTGAAAAAGCCATAATTAATGGACCAATGTGCCATAGGTCAAGGTCAATGTTACTAAAAAAATAATTGAATACAAAAGATATAGGGAAGGGGGAAAAGCCTGTTGATTTTTGGGGTCAACAGGTCATAGGTCATTTTCATTGCTATTAAATTGCTATTTATTTTTTAAATATAAAAATAAGGAGATGTGGGATGATTTCCAATAAGACAACTATCCATCCAAGTTCAAATGAAGTGGACGTAAGCAATTATAGGCAACTGTACGGCCTTCAACAATGAGAAAAAGTTGGTTTTGGGATGGTTTTCAAAAAAGTAATTGTAGCACATTTAATACAGATAAAATAGCAATAATAGTACCTTTCTTTGCCCTTCCAAACATTTTTGTATAGTTAACTGTCGAAATCAAAATATTTTCTGTTAATGAATTGTGCAGTTCCATGAGCATCAGTTGGCAGTGCCAGCTTTTCACTCATTTAATATCTGCTATTTATAACACTAATGGTAGCAATTTTATTGCACCAAATTTGCATTTCAGGGACAGCAATTAATCTCTATTCAGTGATGTTGGACGCAAAACTATATAATCAAAGCACTGTAAGCGCTGTAGGCAGTTAACCAAAAACCAAGGCAAACATAATTATGAAAACTGTGGCTATGTTGCTTCATTTTTTTTTAAGATTTAAAAGAACAAACATTAAACATTCATATATTGTGCATTTATGTTCATTTAATGAATTAATTATTAAGGCAAATAATTCATATTTTATCAAGGTTTTCAAAAGCAACGCATATATCAAGTATATTTTTAATGGTCATGTGTCTGCAGTGGTACAAGTTCGAAATGATTGCAGTTGTTCTAGTTGATAGTT